AGTTGATACTATTTTAGTGCATGTTTTTGTCTTTAATAATTTTTTGTTTACAGGAAAGGAGTTGTTTTCTTTCTTTTTCTTAAAGCTTCATCGTTTGCACTGTCTCCAAACTAAAATGCCCGTTTTCAAAGGCATGAGGCGTGGGTAGAAAATATGGTTTCTCCAAACTAACTAAGACACCCTTAAAAGTTATAAAATTTAAACAATTAATTTTCGATTAAAGTTGTATCCAAATGTTGGATGAAGGGGTGATTGAAGCTTAAGCTGAAATAAAAGAACAGAATTCAAACGTTTTAGCATAAAGCGTTTCAGTTTAGCCGTTTAGCAGAAAGATTAAAATCTGCCGATTCCTAAACAATCCCTTGGCATATTTGCGAGAAATGTGTTGATTTAGTCCCGTAACTTATAGCTATACCTGATATTGGTCCTGTAACTTTATTAACTTGCAGATTACATCCCGTAACTAATAAGTTAGTGCAATTTTGGTCCTTCTCTGCCGGAACTTACCAATTTCGCCGGAAAAGACACATCACCTGCCACATGGTATATTATTTGGAACTCATTTGCTGACTCAATGTTGGCCCTTAGCTAGAGTTAAAAATTATTTCTTCTTAGTTGCAGCAGGAGCATTTTGAATGAAGCTTAAAGCTTTTTGGATTCATGTTTTAAGAATAAAGCATTTGAAATGTTACATCATCTTCACTTCTCACATCTTTAACATGAGAAAGACCAGGAGCAAAAACACTAGCCCCACAACAACTATGAGGAGCCTTTTATTTTTAGCCTTCAACTTTACAACCTCTTCCTCTTTTGAATTGAGTCTTCTAACCAATCCCGGAATTATCATCGTTCAACGATGGCACATAGGTGGGTCCGCCCATTCAAAAAATCTGCAACTTTCTGTCTGTATCAAAACAAGATGAAGTTTAACTTACTTTTTACTGCTTTGAACACAAAAATACATTATCAAATGCCCCCAACAAATAGAATATGGTAATTTTATTAGCAGAACCTAGCTTAAATTATAAAATACATTTTAATTTTCAAACAAATTTATTATTCAAATGCTATTCTTAAATTTCTAGTTTATTTAGTAAAAAAAGAAGCAAACAATGTAAATTAAAAAGTTGAACTTCTTACTCTGCTTCTAGCACACACACGAAACCTCCTTCCAGGATCGTTATCAGTCCAAGAAGTTAGAAGAGAAACCTTTTTACCACAATCACACTCCATAAACTTTTGTCTGATCGAGAGCCGTTACTAGCAGATTTGAAGAATAACTCACTCTATCGACTTAGTTCAGGAGAAATCTTCAGGTAGAGTTATATGTTCTTCCCCCCTTTTGCAGATCCGATAATAGGCTTGGTATGGTTGTGCATGCACTTAGCGAAGAGCTTTCGTACTCTGGTTTTTTAACTCCAGCTAAGGGCCAATATTGAGTCAGCAAATGAGTTTCAAATAATATACCATGTGGCAGGTGATGTGTCTTTTTCCGACGAAATTGATAAGTTCCGGCAGAAAAGGACCAAAATTGCACCAACTTATTAGTTACGGGATGTAAATTGCAAGTTAATAAAGTTACAGGACCAATATCGGATATAGCTATAAGTTATGAGACTAAATCAACAAATTTCCCGCATATTTGCTAACCTCTGTACGATGTACTTATTCTCTTCTACTGATTCTCTTTACCCAACTATTTTTTTGCTATGAGGATGAATTTGATTATAAGTCTTTAAAATTTTGTCAATTATACTCATCTTAATATTCTACAGGGAAAACAAAACTCCATCTATTTATTTTTACTTGCACAATATGAACCCTGGGAATTTACTGTAAGAATGCTGATAAAAATTCAAAGTACCTCCCCTGCAACATGAAAACTGACCTTCAAAAGAAATGCTATAAGATCTGCAAAATCCACTCCACCTTCCTACTTTAGAAAACAGAAGCTAGCAGATATCACGAACTGACCTTATCCTTTATTGAATTCATTCTTTACATTATATATAGTGCTTTTAAGGACAAGTAATATAACATTAACACAAGAGAAACATAATTATAATTTAGCCAGAATTATCATACCTCTGCATTGGTTATGTACTCCCTAATGATACACCAAATAAATCCTTTTATTACGGAACCATATAAATCCATTAGTATCCTGTTAAATGGAATAAAATAATTTCTCAGCACATACCAAAAACTGAAATCCACTTTTAGTCAATTTTGGTTGCTCTGGGTCACAGAGTTTTCATTTGCACAATACGGAGTAGGTTTTTCAGATTTGGCTCACGAACATCAGCCGGTAACGTCTTTGAAAATACTGACTAATGGCGCAGCGACGGCATCGTATTACTTTCTGAAGATGGGAAGACAGAAGGAGAAATAAGGAATGCTTTTAGGACTGAATTACAAATATAACGTAGTGCAGGGGACAATTTCACAAATTTGGATAATTTTACTTGAATAAATGACGTGGAGTAGATATCAAATAATGTGATGCCATCTGGTGAATGCACCAAAACATCCCAGAATTTAAGTGCACCGAAGAGCTTCCCTTAATCAGATTGCTGACATGGCACGTCCACCCCGATGACAAGGCAAAAAACACCCCTATTTGGGAAATAAGTTTAAAAGTACCCTAGTTTGGGAAATAAGATTTGAAAGTATTAGCTAGTCAATTAAATAAGACATTTAATGTAGGAAAAGAGTCACCTCAATGTTAGGTTCCATTTATTATGTCTAGCTTTATTAGCACTAAAACTTAGGTATATATATATTCTCTTATCAAGAATGTAGAAAGAGAGACTTTACGCCGCACAAAAAAAATTCATTATAAAAGTTTCAAAGGAAAGCGTAATCTAAGATTTCTACTGTACGAAATTCTTCATCATCATTATGAAATTCTCTTATGGTTTACGTAAGATTTATGTGCGTTTATTCCATTGCTTAAAACTGGGATCAACAACTGGTATCGGAGCAAGATGAGGTACCCAGGAGCGGAACTACTAAGGGTTTTGGGGGCCCTGCAGTTTTTTCTATTATATATATATATATATATATATATATATATATATATATATATATATATATGTATGTATGTATATGTATAAATGTAAATGCTACATATAAGGGAATAAAATGGATTGGGAGCAAAGCCTTAAGCAGTTCCAGACTTCAAGAAGAAATGGTGTGGAATTGTGGGTATTGTGCTGGAATTACGAGTCTTACCCACCCAGAAACAAACTCATCAGTCATCATCATATTTAAGTCTAACAAATGTTGTTGACTTTTCAGATTAGCTTTCATGGTCGTTCTTCCTCAAAGTGCCATAACAGTTGTTTTATTGAACAGTGATATGAAAATAATGTCACTGTCATGGTATTACATTTATGAAGATGGTAGCTTTTTGTTTTTTTACATCTTTAATATATTTTCATAGCAAAGTTGACATTTTTTAAAAGTAAAAGATACACCTTGATGTCATTTTCAAAATAAAAATGAGATTTTAAAAAGGAGTGAAAGCTTTGCCAAAAAACAAGGAGTGAAAGAAGGAGAAGCGATTGTCATGTTTTTTACATATGTAATGTCATTGAACATTTTGAGAACAAACATGACATTTTAAAAGAAAAGAAAAAGAAGAAACAACGGGAGGAAGAACCGTAGGAGGACTACTTGCAATTCTGAAATCGGCATTGACGCCATCATTATAGCAATTTGGAAGATGAATGTTGCGATCGGAAGAGGAAGAGAGAAGAGGGAGGAAAGACTGAAATGTTTTCAATCAAATCGGAAGAGGGAGAAGAGAGAGGAGAGTGAAATTTCCGATCAAAAAAATAAATCGCAAATGAAGTAGGTAGAGAATTGAATGAGTAGAAAACAACATGGGAATTATATGCATTGCTTGATAAGAAGATGTGGGGGAAGATGTCGGAGGCGGACACGATGAGGAAGCAGGAACTTTATTTATGTTTTTTTTTTTAAATATTTTTATTTATGTTTTGGCCTCATTTATGGCAATTTCTTATATAAAAATGTAAACACAATATTGATCACATACTTTATTTTTATAGGAATTTAAGTCAGCACAAAATACTTATCTTAAAAAATTATACTCCATTCGTTCCAATGGACATTGTCCACTTTGATTTAAGTGTGAAATAAGAAAAACATAAATTGTGCTATTGAGAATTGTGCAAATGAAGGAAAAATAAGGACAATCATAAATTCATTACTGGACTACAATATATGAGAAAATGCACCCAAAATGTTTCGTTTGTTGTCACTTTTCAATCCAATTCAGAATTGTTTTCTTCATTAGCATAGAGGGTTTGCATTGTTTACAATAAAACTGCTTGAAATATTAAATTTGGAACAAAAGTGCATCGTTTCCAATTTGATATCTCTATAACCCATTAACCTGGAACAGTTTTATTGAATTTTAGATTCTTTTAAGATATTTGCTAAGTCTATATATTACAAAAAGAACAAAGTAATCTAAACCTGTAATATAGTTTCACAATGCAAACCAACATAATGAAAACTAAGAAACCATATTGTAATACTAAAATCGATTGTATTGGCTGATTCTGTTGAATTTTATGAAGTTCTGACAGAAGTCGCTCGATTGGTTGATTCTGATGATTTATGAAAAAAAATATATATTCATCAATAAAATTGTATGAAAAACAACTAAAGTGGTCTTCTAGAGTAACTTCAACCAATACAGTTAAAAAGTAAACATACCCTTACTTTTTCTTATTATTATACAATTCAGCGCGCGAAATCAAAACTTATGTGTTTGGAACAAAAGTTGACTGATAAGTTGAAAAAAGGTCTGTCGGTACATTCTTGTGCAATACTTCAGAGTTCAGAGAGTATAACCCCTTTACCAATATATTTACAAATTTATAATTACAAGTTTGGTGACAATTTTTCTTTTCTTATTCAACATTATCGTCCTACACTCCGTAAGAAATTGATATAGAGAACCCAAATTTAGTGTAATGAGACTTCATATAAACTTCATTATGGACCAATTTAGGGAAACTATTATACACACTATATTATCCACGCTTTGGTTACAATTTATATAAAGAGAATCCCCTAAATAGTAGAAAAAACATTTTGGAATTCCAAAATAGAACTATTATTGTTTTTTATTCTCTGAATATGAGTAAATTTCTGCCAAGCTTGATATTACTAGACTTTAAAGTTTAAACATGACAATTTTTTCTGATTACTCTTATTGAGGGAATGAAAAACACGATAGTCCTATTTTGGAATTTCAAAATTCTTTTACTCCTATTTAGGGCAATTTCTGATTTAGATACTCCTATATCATGTCATAGCTATGAAGCTATCTTGATATTCTACCAATGAATCAGCAAAACGTTTAGATGAATAAAGACTTGATACCAACAAAAAGTAAAACTATATCTACAAAAGTTTAGATGAGTGCATTTTATCCAACTCAGCATCCGCCTCGCCATTGTTCTCCCAATGTTCACTTCGGTATGTTGCCAAGAGCCTTCATCAGAAAGGCATATTCATATGCTTCTTCTTCACAGTGACCACAACGCCCTCCTTCGCCAAAATGTCCCCCGCTCATATCTGTCTTTAGAATAACTGCACCAGAACACCTTGAACACGCTTCATCCCGTACTTTGGCGATCCACTTAGCTGCTTCCCAGACACCAACTCTGACAGTCATCACAAGCAACAAAGCAAATACACATTCCGTTTAAAAGAACGTAAATGTTTAACAGAGCAGATGAATAATCTTATTAGAACATGTTGATATACCTGGAGTCATTGTATGAAGATGTGACAAGCGTGGTGGGAAAGCATAATGCATGCGATATATTATCGTAAGGAGAATACTTCATAATATAATTAAAGTAAGACTCAATCTGAGGATTCCCAAATTCTTCATAGTCCAAGACTGTGAGAGGTAAAGCCGGATCCAACAATGTGTTGCATATATCAAGAAAAGGAACCTGGACCATTGTGGTTTTGTATTTATTTATTTATTTATATATAAAACCATAATAATGATTGAATATTTATTTTCTTTTCCCGGATAATAAGATAAATGAATCTACAAGCATTGTGTTTAACCTTTAAAATTGCAGCCTGAAAAAGTCCGGGATGTATGTTGATGGCTGCCCCGACAAGAAGACTCCCGGCACTAACTCCGATAGCACCAAGCTTATTAGTGTGAACATAACCCTGGTTAATAAGGTACTGTCCGCATGATACAAAGTCATTGATGGAGTTTAACTTGTGTAATCCACTCCCAGATTTATGCCACGTGGGATGAGGGCCATCACCGCCTCTGAAACATGTATTAGGAATTAGGAACTCATGAGAAAATGATACAATAAGCTGTCCATTTCATCTTTTAGTTATTAAGAAAATAATGTCAGATCACATACAGGTTTGGTAAGCAAGTTCAAGGAGAAATGGAAGATGAAGAGGTCAATGTTTAAGTAAGTGAACCCAAGAAAATAAAGCTTAAGCTCAGTTTATTTCAGGGTAAATAAGCTGTTTACTCACAAAGTAAATTGTTCCCTGTATAATATAGTGTGTTTGGATCATGGAGTGACTGCTAGAGGAAGTTCCTTGGAAATTACGAAGGCGCATCAAATTCTCTGAAAATTTCCATATCGTTTAGTTTTCCTAATCTTTAAACGATCTAAATATATAAATTAAACGGGTTTGAACAAATACTTATTTATTTTTATTTACTTTCAAGCATATCTTTTACTTGTAAATTTACTGTAATTCCCTCTCTATTTTCTTTCCTTAAGTTTTTACTGGTCCCTACATCTGACCCCCCCTAAGCTATGATGATGATGATGATGATGAAGTTTTTACTGGTCCCAAATAGGCTCTAAAGTCTAAAGCACAAGGGAAAATACTCTGGTGTCACACAGGAGGACATTTCTTGGATAGTGTATTATGTGCCCAACACAGAAGAAAGACAGGAAAACTACAAATATTTTCTTGTACACAAACAGAGCCTAAGTGAGATAATAAAAAAACCTAGCATGAGAAAATGGTGACAAATAATCTACTAACCTAACATCAGAAAAAGCAATTACCCAACCACGATCAAGAAGGGAGAGACAGTTTGCGCACCAGCTTTTATCAAGAACATCTCCATAAGCTCCATACCCATGCAGAAGACCTGAAGATTGACCTTTTTGGTGTGCTTTACGAGAGTAAATGATAGTCAAAGGAATCCTCACTCCATCATGTGAGATAACTTCTTTGTTTTCACAAGCATAGACTCCTGTAAAATCTCTCCATGCCGGTCCTTCAACTTTTCGAGTTTCACATTTCTGCCCACTTGAGATATTTGCCAATTCTTCTTGCATCACAATGGTGGATGAATTCTTTGCCATATCATAGTCAACAATAATGTCAGGCATCTGCAATTCAAAATAGAACATTGACAAGCTTATACTCCGTAATAGATAATGATGCTATTATCTACATAAAATTTGGGTGGGGTTTTGGCTAAACCCAAAAATTACATGTAGATCTCGGGTTATGAAATTAAGGACCAGAACAAGGTCCATTATATTCAGTCCAAATCGGGTTTTTGGTAACCCGGATTTGGTTCGGTTCTGGGTAGGGCCGGTTAAAACCTGAATGAGACATATATCACCTTGCCTTTCTATATTTTAAAGCCAATTTGCAAATAAGATTACTCAAAAATACAAATCACAAATAATAACACAATTTTAGTCTCAAAAATCGTCAACTATTCAAATTAAAACAAAATAATTTATCTTAATATTGCATTTAAGATATACTCCCTCCGTCCCGAAAAGGTTGACCAAAGTTGACTTTCACGTGGATTAATAAAGTAAAAACTACGTGGTTGAAATTTGTGCAGAGGAGAGAAAATTAAATTTAACCACATATTCCTTACTTTGAAATGACAAATCTTTTTGGGACATCCAAAAAAGGAAATTTGGCCAACCTTTTCGGGACGGAGGGAGTATATAAATAAATAATAGAGATTTTTTCAAAAATTGTTAATAAATAAATTTATGGATAAAAACATGACTAAAGCTACTATGAGTATATTTTTATGGTCACTATGGTATACAAATTGGAGGATCGGTCTCTTTCCATCTTTTTGTATGTCTTTTGTTCTTTATCCTTTTATCCTTCTTATCTTATTTTTTTATCCTTTTTATCTTATATTTTTTTTATCCTTTTTATCGTATCTTTATCTTATCTTTTTTACCCTTTTTATCTTATCTTATCTTTTTAGCTCCGATTTCAGTGTCGATTCTTATTAGCCGACCCTAAACTCATTTGAGACTAAGGCTTGAATGTTGTTGTACGGTATACAAATTGAACATAGTTGTAATTATTAAAAGTTGCTAAGTCACTTTTTTGTCCACGCTTATTTTAGTCATATATTGGGAATTATTTATAAATAATATTGGTAAATTATATTGATCTTATATTAAATGTAAATGTTTCGGGTTTTGGCCAGTCTGGTCCAGGCCGGGTTTTAGATTTTAGAGACCGTTAGTTTGGCCCGATTATTTTTTACTGTTATTTTTATCCGGCCGTCTAAAAAGAAAAAGGCCCAGAATGGTCACCTTGCGGGCCGGGCCAAGATCAGTTTCCGGGTTTTGGATTAGTTTTTCCAACCCCTTGTCATGATTAGTTAATTACAGTTAAAAGGTATTGTGTTTATTTATAGGTTTTTTCTTATAATATAACTAAAACTCATATACAAAAAAAGTATTACCACACGGTACAAGTCTACAACCACATGCAGCCAAAGTACCACAATGATAATGAACAGTAAAATGAAATATCACTGGCAAAAAAATGTACTCAGGGTACATTTTTTGTCCATCATCATTATTTTCATCATATTTTTGCATAATTTCTTACTTATTTGACTTCGATACTTACTTTATTTTGTTCATATTTGTATTATTCCTCTAGTAAATTTGATCCTCTTGTTCTCTTAATCTTGTACATTTACATCTATAAATATCACCATGGTCAAGCATTATCGGGCCACTTACAAATCTTATTCTTCATACTATATAGCTATGGGTGGCATTTATCCTTTCAGTGTGAAGAGAGAATATGAAAAAAGATTAACAGAAGAAAAACTTAGCAGAAACGAACATCAATTTGTAGACAAAAGTACCACTGGAGATGAGATGATAACACGATATACTGAACTCATAAAATCATGGTTTGAACCAGGAGCTACTGAGCACATATCTGAGGGGAGAGGAAAGAACCATGGACTTAGATCTTCAATGTCCTTTGGTTTCTGCAAGGCACCAATAGGCACCACTGAGTCAAATCAAAAGCAACTAATTACCTTTTGTTAAATGCTTCACCCAATTTATATATATATATATATATATATATATATACACCTTTATAATATATAATGATTAAGAAATAAAAAATGTTAACATGTTAGGAAATATTAATAAAAACTACTAGTACAATATCCTTTATTGTATTTTCCAAGCTAAAACCTAAGGCTTTACCTACCAAGTTAGTAATGTACCTCACAGTTAACAATACTCTTCATTGGAAGGGAACATATACATGACGAACCCGCTTTGTTGACGTACAGCACGAGATGCTCATTAAACATATCCATATCTTTCAAGAAAATATCTCCACTTGGTACAATGATTTTCTACAAGGAAAAAAACTGTTTAAGGAGCAAATAATAGTAAAGGAATCCATATAAACACTGGGGCAGATATCAAGGAACAGAAATTTACTTGCAAATTGGTAGACTGAAAGTTTTCTACCCGGCCTCTTGCTAAGTAATAAAATCCACCTTCTGGCAACTCCATACCATTACTTGTTAGAGCATTTGTGAGGACATAAAAAACACCATGATGATGTTCCAAGAAATATTGTACACCAGAGACACGATTACAAAATTTTGTAAGTCCAGTGTACGGATTGGTTGCATTTATGATATACACCTGTATTAAGACCATTTAAACCAAAAGTGAAATTGAAACTACTGTTCCTATGAAAGCCAGTTCTGCCTAATAAGCAAAGCTCAGAATAAGCAAAGCTCAGAATAAGCAAAGCTGAAGACATACTGAAAACTCAGCATATTCAACTGCTTAAATTTTCATGATCTTTATATACTAAAAGCATTTGAATAAAATGAGTTTGGGCAAATATTTACATTGATTAATTGATTTATTGAGATTGAAGCAATAGTTTATTTACCCTCACATATTTTTTCCTTTCCAGGTTTTCCCTCTATTTTCTTCCCAATTTTCTTTCCTTAACATATCTTGAGTTTCAAAAGGACCCAAGAGAACGCACAGAGGCTAACGAATAAAAGATTAGAAAGGTAAAATTTCTTACCTCAGATGAAGTCCTGGAATTAGAATTCAAAGTTATGAATTTCCCATCTTTTGTACGTGCAATATCCAGACAGAAATTAGAATCATATTCAGTAAACAGTTCCACATGATCCATCTGATCTGATCCAAGTTGCACACACTGTAGCCTATTAAATTAAAGTAATGCTATGTCATCATTAACATAAGAAGCTATAGGCCATGTTTGGTGGATGACGGTTAGCTGATAGCAGGTTTTTGTGTTTATTTTGACCAGCGAGTAGTTTTAGTTGTTCTAACTGGCTGGTAGTATACTAGTATGTGCAGTTTATAACGAGCAGGTTTGATAAATTAATTGTTTATTGGGAGATGGTTACACATAAAATGATTTGTATAGACATGAGTGTGTTCATAGTAAAAATATCTTTAAAATATAATAACAATTGACTATTTTAATACATAAAATCCAATAGGTATTTATTTTTCACTATTATTAATAGAATCATTTGGAAAGTACAAAAACATGTTACTATAAGAAGAAGAAGAATATTTTAAATAATTTAAATAATTATTTAAATACAAATAAGAAGAAGATTCACCCAAATAATAATATTTTAAAAATATCATAACAATTTACTAATTTGATATATATTAACTGGTTACTAGATAATTAATATATTGATTTTGAAAGATAAAACATTCTAAAAAAATAACAATCTTAAAAATGTAAGAGCACTTTACTATTTTGATATATAAAAACCAAATGGTATTTGTTTTCAATATTTTTATTTGAAGATTGTTTTTAAATATTTTATTGTAATTTTTTAATATCCCATTACTTAATTATTAAAAAGAAATAAAACTAAATCAAAACACAAAAAGTAGGGGATTTTCCTCTAATATTACATTATTATATTACTAGAACAATACTCATGGGAGAAAATGTGACTGCTTTTAAATACTCCAAATAAAAGGATCAAGTACTACGTATGTTACTTTTAGTATGCACCACAACACTAGAGACACTGCACAAATGTCTCTATCACTATCAGCTTTTTCCGGCGACTTTTTACAGTGCATTTTCTGGTGAACTTCGTAGTCGGCAACGGACAGTTCGGAGCTTGGTGAGAGAGAGAGAGAGAGAGAGAGAGAGAGAGAGAGAGAGAGGAGAATGAAATTGTGGTTTGAGAAACTTTAGTGATATTAGTCACTGTTTTGGAAATGTTAAATGCTATCCTATTTTTGTACAATTAAAGGCTAGGCGTTATATTCTGAGCATTCTTTCATCAAGGTAAGTGATGGAAAGATAACAAATACGGAAGGTTAGATTAGGAAAACATATCAAAGATGGAAACCCCAAAAGCCCAAACTCTATCACCAAGCTGATTCATAAAGCCATTTACCAAACATGTGTTTTAGCTAATTCGTCCGGATGAAACAGCTAATTTTTTCAAAACAGCCAAAAAAATGGTCGATCAGACATTCACCAAACAAAGCCAGTAAACATAAAACTCATAGAAAAAAAAACTTTGCCTGTAAGGTCGTTGTTGTTGGTCGATCAATGTATACAGTAAAGTATGACCGTTTCCAGCCCATTCCAAGCTAGCAACTCCATTGACATTAAGATTCGGAAGAATGTGTCCACTCTTAAGATCTTTAACTTGAAGTGTGAACTCCTCACTGCCACTAACATCAACTGTGTACGCTAGAAAATTGTGGTCAGGCGAGATTCGACATGTACCTACATGAACATATCCTGCAAGGTGTGTGCATATATATGTAAGAAATTTGGCGATGAGGAGAACCAGAGAGTACAGAATTGATATACCATAGTTTTCAGCTATCTCGTTCCAATCGAGCAATATCTCCGCTTTCTGTAAGACACTTGCTTTTTGAAGATGATTGGTTATCGTACTGATCCAACCTTTATTCTCATTAGCCAACTTCCTACACAAGACTGGAAACTCCTTCCCCTCTGGAATGTACTGAGAGTATAGCCTATATCATTCCATAAAACACTAAACATATAAAAAAGTTAATCAAAACCACACTAAAAAACTATACGTTCATAACATCATAATGATTAAACTAAAGGAAACCAACAATTCAATTAACATTGAATCTTCTTCTTATTTGTTGCAAATTATTTACGAAGGACTATTTACTTCAGGTCAGAATTGATCAGCTCCACTTGACCATTTCCCTGGATGAGAGAAATGTTTTACTCCGTATTTACACATGAAAAATATTATAACCAATGTACTTCACTCTTCCACCAAAAGTAGAATAAATTTCTCTAAAAAAATTGCAACTTAGTTTCACTCCATAAAGTGATAAAACACTAAACATAAAAAAAAAAAATCTAAACTACAATAAAACACTATACATTCATAACATCATAATGGTTAAACTAAACTACTAAAGGAAACCAATAATTTAATTAACATCGAATCGCCTTCTTGTTTGTTGCAAATTACTTAATAAGGACTATTTACTTCAGGGCAGAATTGATCAGCTCCACTTGACCATTTCCCTGGATAAGAGAATTGTTTTACTGCGTATTTACACATGAAAAATATTACTCCGTATAACTGATATACTTCACTCTTCCACCAAGAGTAGAATAACTTTCTCTAAAAAAAATTGCAACTTATTTTCCTAGAGAACAAGAAAAGTTTTGGCCACAAAAGTAAAAAAGAAAGCATTTTCTCTTCTTACCAGCTCAGGGATCTTGGAGGGGTAAATAAAAAAAAATGAAAAAGAAAAAAAAAAAACATTTTCTCAAAACATATTTTTTTGGCAACCAAACATAGCCTAAATGATGTTTTATGAGCCACAAGCCCACAAAATCCTACTTTTGCGTACTTTGTTTACATTGTGCAAATAACTACCTATAAAATGCAACCATGTACAGGTTAAATACATGATTCTTAAGGTTAGTTTGTTCACATGGTGATTATTGGTCACAAAGCCCTATAATTTTTCTTTCACTTTCAAGTTAAGAAAAGATGAACCTAGCCCTATGTGTAAATCCCGATCACCTAGTCCCTCCATATGGAATGTACTACTTGTTTGTGCATTCCATGTCGAGGGACTAAGTGATCAGGATACACCCATATCTAGTATCGACTTGAGCAGATAAGCTTGGTGACCATAGGCCATTGAAGGGTAATTATAAATGTTTTAAAACCTTGTGGGAAATTGTTAGACCTTCAATGTCCTTCATCGTTAGATACTTAGATACCATCTTAGTGACTTGGTCTTACTAGTGATTAAGGATTGACAATTTTTTATAACGTGGAAGCAAAGGTAGCTTAGAATTTCAATTACATGAATTATGAAAAACGATAGAAACGTTGAAACAATGCCACCATGATAAAAGAAATTATTAGAGTTGACTTGCTTCAAATATATATACCTTATAAAGTTGGACTACAGAGATTCACCGGAAAAAGGGGATTTTTATAGTTAATTTGTCTCACATGGTGGTTTTCAAGGTATCAAAAACAGTAAAAATACAGTGGGCGGAAAAATTGGGACGGAGAAGATGAACAAACCAGGGACCCCATCGTTCAGGAGGGGTGGAAATTCTGGAGGGAATTCTAGAAACCATCTCAGTGTACAGAGTCCTCTGCATTTCTTGAGTATCCTCCATGAAAGCCTCGGCATATGCATTCTCTTGCTGGAGATAGCTCATGAAATCCGGGTCGTCCGTTTTGCGCATCCAGTGATACGGGTCGACCCAAGACTTCCCATGAGCAGAAACCGTGAAAGGAACCCTCTTGGCGGCAGGAGGAGTCTGAGCATAGGTTCGGCGGGGTTGCCGGCGGCGGAAGGTGGAGACTGGGAGTAAATGGGTCTTTGTGATTGACGCCGCCCTCGTTGCTCTCTGAACCATAGCCATGAAAACTGGAAAAAAAAAGGACGAGAGGCGGAGAAAATCTGAAAAAGAAGCATTTTTTCGATTAACGAAAAAACAAGAACTCAGAGATCCAAAAATGAAAACATACAAAATGTTGATGCCCAGGATCGAACTGGGGACCTTCAGTGTGTAAGACTGACGTGATAACCACTACACCACACCAACTCTTGTTCACTCTACGACGAATATACGTATTAATCTGCGTTACAAATCCGCAGAAGGATCTGTATTGCTCTCCATAACATGTCTTAAATAAATACAGTTTTTATTTTTAACAAAAGAAAAAACAGGAACTGTCCTAAATAGAAGTACAAATAATTTTAAATATTATACTTGTAATTATTGTCATGATTAAAAATGTTGTGTCAAAATATTATAGAATGATTTTAAGTTTATAGTAAATTCTTGTTATGTTATCCCTATTTAGGGGAAAGCGGAAAAATACAATAATCCTACTCTGTATTATGACAATTTTTTTAAAAGGACTATTATCATGCGTAAATATAAATAGCAATAAATATATAATCTATGAATCAACATCATAGAATACGAGCATATTTTATGTTATACGTAGTATAATTTCTTTTAGACAAGAAGTCACACTCGTCTATTTCAAACAGTAAAAATAGATTCAATTTCAAAATCTTTTGTACATGACGTCGAATATCATGCTATCACTTTAGACAGATTTCTTATTTGCAAATATTATCTTAGAATATATTTTTCCTATATTAAAACATGCACTACAACAAAAGAGACGTTTTGCAACACACGCAAAATGTTACATTATATACTTAAAGTGTTACGTAATAGCTTAAGCAACACTTTCACAAGTGCTACATCAGGTCTCGTTGCATAAAAGAATAAGTAACACTTTTTGTCATATTATGCAACATTCAACAAAATTGTTGCATAAATTACAAATATGCAACACTTTTTGGCAACACTTCAACGAGCACCTTTAGTAACACTTTTGAGAGTAAAATGCAACACTTTCAATAAGAGCTTAAGCAACGCTTATGCTTAACTTTTGCAACACAATTATTATATTCTTTGGCAACATTATCTATATGTAACGTAACACTTATACCAACATTATAGGCACTACTATGATAACATGGATCGTGCTATTAGCGACATTCTATCTGAGTATATAACATATTACTATAACTCATGATTACTATTAAATGATTGAGTTCCAGTGCTCCACCTTCATATATTATGCAACTTGTATATACTAAAATCTTAAAACTCTGTCAATATATATGAATATCTAATATATTAAAATAGTACAGAGTAATATATAAGAATATCTAATGTATCCAACACAACCTAAAATTTGTCCCAAAGGAAAATTTAAATTGATCACCATCAACATCACCAAGAGTTTGGCAGCAACCTAAAATTACTGAAAATTTTAACAAAAACACACTAAAATATGTAGATAACATCAACTAAAAGTCTTCCAATTGAAAAAAAAACATTAAACAACTACAACTTTTCAACTCTACACTCCAATATCAACATCTGGAATCATTGTAGCAAGTCATGATCGAAATATTCATTGTCTTTTTCGCAAGCTTCATGTTCCTTATGCATTTGTGCAAGTTTAAGAACATCTTTCTTGATAACTCTTCTTCCACACAACTTATTTCTTGCGTCTCATATATTATGCAACTTTCATGTTGTGTCTCAAAATTCTTCATTCAAACCTACAAAGAAAATTATACTTAAAACCAAGACAATTATGACCGAACCAAAATGGTCTTGGTGTTAATTTTAGTTCATTTTTCACAGCAGTACATACACATAGACATAATTGTATAAATGAAGATACATGTGGTTAAACCGAATTAATATGAAGGCCATAGTACCTGCAATCAAGCACCTATTGATACTGACGGAGAGATCATAAGTAGAAGCAACAATCATATTCACGGAATCACAGCCTGCCAAAAAGTAGTATTCAACATTGAAAAGTCTTGGTATAGAAGTGTTTCTGAAAATATCACTGTACAAAATAAATAATACTAGTGAGATGAGTAACAACATTTTACAGATTGATCATACAGTTTTCGCCGATTACCTTAGTATCGCAGATCTCTGCAAGGCCTCGTTTGCTTTCTGCTCACACATGGCGACCTTTTACGAAGCTCCTCCAGGAAATTTCATTTCTGATGAGAAGATATTCAAGCAGAAATGTGCCTAGCGTCACACCGTTGATAAAGGCACTGATCACAAGCAAGGGCCCAACTTGAGTGGATTATTTAGAAGACAATCTGGTGTCACTCTCGTTTACTCTGATGCGAACAAGACCAAGGCTATCTGCTGGGAAGAGAAAACGCTATATGATTACTTACTCAACTCTAATAAGTATATTCCCGGAACCAAGATGGTTTTCCCTGGATTGAAGAAACCTCAGGATCGGACAGATCTCATAGCTGTCCGCTGGGAAGAAAAAACACTATATGACTACTTGCTCAACCCTAAGAAGCATACTCCTGGAACCAAGATGGTTTTCTCTGGATTGAACAAACTTCAGGATCGGACAGATCTCAATGCTTATCTGAAGGAATCAACTGCTAGTAACAACATTAACTAAAATTAAGATTAAAAAAGCGTCTGTGATTAAAGAATAATATCAATTAACTGAAATTCAGATTAAAGAAGCACATGTGATTAAAGAATAATATCAATTAACTGAAATTAAGATTAAAGAAGCACCTGTGATTAAAGAATAATATTATTTAACTGAAATTAAGATTAAAGAAGCACCTGCGATTAAAGAATAATATTGTTGGGGTTTTTTCTTCAAAAATATTACTAAAATAATAGCCAGACCAAGTTACATATTCAAACTAATAGGCCCAAACTCATACGAAGAGGATGAAGACTTAGTCCAGATAATAGAATGACCCGATAAGAATAGCCAGACGGAGTTTCAAATAAAGGACGGATAGGGAGTACTAACTGTCTAACTGACTTCTGATCCCGATGGCAAGAGAGTAGAAATCGTTAGGAAGTTGGACATTTAGGCAATAACTCCAAATATAAAGAGAAGATGGGTAACAGTTGTAGCATACAATCTATGATATCAATACTTTATTATACAAAGTATTTATTCTACTTGGTGTCTTCGTTGTACTGCTTCATCATTAATACACCAGTTTATTCATATTTCCCTATTCTTGCACGTTCCCAAATTACTCCACAAACTGGTATACAGCTAAATTATTAAAGTAGTTTTTGGGTTAAAGCAAATAGGGAGTATAAAAAAAACAAAAAACAAATAGGAAGTATCAATTAACCTAAATTATCAAAACTATGGAAAATCACATACGTAGTATTACTAATTAAAAATTGAAGTTAAAACATTGAAGAAGCACATGTGATGAAGCAACCGAAGTATTAAGTAGCACCTGTGGGAACACCGTCGAACAAAAATTGACACAGTCGAACACTTTCAAACACTGTCGACAACCAGTGTATGACGATTGACACAGGATTAAGCAGCAACCAGTGATTCTGATTTGTTTTGGGAATTTTGTCGAACACTTTACAAGCAAGAAAGTTCTAGGTATTATTAATGAAACTTAATGTATGGAACATCAAAATTTCCGCAAATGAACCCAAAAAGATATCATGTACGCAACAAAGAGTTGTTCAAACATCAAAGCACGCTTATGGATATGAAAATGGATTCTGTACATGGGATAATAATACAAAATTTACTAACCCAGTCAAGGAATTGGTCCGACATTTTCCATCCTGCGGCTGGCGCTGACCGTTTTAGAAGAATCTCTCATCGAGATGAAACAGCTACGCTGGAAGATAAAACCCATCGAGTCTCAAATATGTTTTAAACTAAAAGTGTTCAATTAGCCCCTTATATAAAAGTTTTGCCCAGCCGTCGCTAATTCGGGCGGTTCCCGGTGGAATTGTTTGATAAAAATTTTTGAGCATCTTCTTACTTAAGTCTAGTTTACTCATACCAAATTTCAGCTAAAAATTCAACCGAGAAGGCAGTCAAATAATTTTCTGAAATGTACTGCGCTGTAACTTCGAGGTTATCTTCAAAAAATCATTTGACTGCCTTCCCGGTTGAATTTTTAGCTGAAATTTAGTATGAGTTAACTAGACTTAATTAAGAAGATGCTCAAAAAAATTCATCAAAAAATTCCACCGGGAACCGCCCCAATTGGCGACGGCCGGGCAAAACCTCCTATATAAGAGGCTAATTGAACACTTTAAGTCAATTCAAGTGCCTATTTGACCTTTAGCCGTCAAATGAGTGCTGAAAATCGGCTGTTTTGAAAATCGTTTGGTATCATTGATTGATTCTACTAATTTAAGAAAAAAAATAAAATATATTTTATTAATAAAATAAAGCAAAAAATTATATGTAAAAATAGCTAAAATGGTCGTATGCAGTAACTTCAGCCAATACAGCCAGAAAAGTAACTCTGGCCTTACTTTTTTTTCTATTACACAATTCAGTGCGCGAACGCACTGAATTGGCTGATAAGCCTGATAAGCCGAAATAGTGCTGCCAAACGGGCTCTTAAAATAAAATTGTACTCCGTATTTCTCTGTTTTCATCGGTTACGTTAGACGGTTTATTTAATTTGTTAATTTTTTATTTGGCCTTGTATTATTAGCAAGCATGTAGAGGTGTATAAGGAATACAAATATTTTAGCAAGGATTAAATTATAGTAGTATAAACGTAATATATACACTCAAACATATAGCAACACTCTTCAACAATGTTACATAAATATGGATAGCAAATTCGCAATTATGCTTAATGCAACGCATTTTAAATAATGTTACGTAATCGCTAATAATATGCAATACTTTTTAGTAAGTGTTGCATAATTATATACTTCTTGTGTATATGTAACATTGAGAAATAAGTGTTGCAGATTTCTAACTCAAAAGGTTATATGCAACAATAAATTAAGTGTTGCAAACAAAATGTTACATAAAGCCTATTTTGTTGTAGTGATGTATCAATTTGTTTTTTTCCTTCTTTGGCTTGGATGGTTTGATAACATGTATCAATTTGGAATTTCTAATAAGCTTGATTACAATTTTTTAGAGTATATCTAATAGCTTATGTAATCTTATGTCATATTTCTTGATTATTTTTTATTATTGACATCATATGCAAATTGCAAATACGAGCATTAGAGATGAACCTCATATCAAACTAGTAGAAAAGTTTGAAAATTAATGAGTATCAATGTATGAACGAATCTTCTACACATATGTCAATTGTAACATATTAAAGACTAATAAGAATGTACAATGTTTACAATATAGTAAAAATTATGATATTGTTGCCCCGAGTTTATTTTATTTAAAAAGAACATTAACACAACTATTTAAACATGGTCCTGTAAAATTTAAAAAACACATAGAATATAATTTTTGTATGCGCT